ATTCTTGGATATGGGCCTTATTTTTCCTTCCAATAGTTTATATTATTTTGATGTTAGGCTGATTGATCTGCAGTTTCCAGGTATATATCTCAGCCCCTTTTTAAATATCTGTACCATGTTTGCTTTTTGGCAATAAGCGGGTACCATTCCATTCAGCTGTTCTTAAAAATTATAAATAATGGCCTGGCTATGAAATGATTAAGTTATTTGAGAACTCTGAGATGGAAGCCATCTGGTCCTGATGATTTATTCAAATTATTTTTTTCCAATCTGCCTTGAACACAGTTTTCTGTCAGCCATAAGGGTTCTATATAATGTTATTAGCGACACTGTCTTGTTTATTATACCCCTCCTTTTCATTCATTTAAACTGAGGAGAAGAAAGTAATTTTCTGCAAGAAACTCCAGGATTCCTATTTTGAGAGGGGCAAGGGTCTCTTGTGTATCAGGATCTTTCTTAGTTTTCTGGTCTACTATCAAAGCCTCTCTTTCTTTCCTGGTTTGGCCAGATTAACATAATATATTTGTTATAGCTTTCTTTTTGTGGACTGGTTGACCTTATTGTTAACTTTTTCTACCTTTTCTTAAACATCTTGCTTTGCTCTGGGGCTGGGGTGTACCTCCTTGCTTCAGAGTAACTTTCATGGTAATAAAGACCCTCATAAGAAGCCCTTCACACAGTTGTATTGTTCCACCACAGCATTTTTCTCATCCTGAAACTGAGGTTCAGCCTGGGCCACCCAGTGGTACAGTTTCTTGGGAAGACCACACACAAAATGATCCAGGGCAACAAGCTCCACAATGTTAGTGAGGGTCAGCACCTTAGATTGCAGCAAGTCTTGGAGCAAGTGCACCAAGGTATACAGCTGCACACAGGTTGCCTAGCCCTGTCAAAAAGCCAGGCATAGACACAGCTCACTTCCCAATAGTCATGCCACAGCCTAGCCAATGTCTCGGCCTTCAACACTCTGTACTGTAACTGTATACTGATTCCAGGGTGACATCAAAGTATGCTTGCTGTGGATCAGAAAAAGAGAGGCAAGCACATCCACCCAATGGGTCTCAGCTAGCCCTGCTCTTGATGCAATCTGCTCAAACGGGGCCATATAGATTTGAACATTGCCTGTTGGCTATAGAACTGTGGCTATGAGTCAGCTGGTATACTGGACCTTCTTGGAAGTTTGCAATTGGCTGGGTCACTGCATTTTGTAAAAGCATTTTGTAGCACCACTAAGCATTGTAAATACTGTCTTGTCAGAAACTTGGCTCAGGATTCATGCAATTTTGCTGTTGCTAAAACATGTTTTGGCTTGGCTTTATATCACTATTAGGCCTGCAGTAGATTGCAAGACTATTATTTATTTTTGAAAGCCTTATAAAGAACATCATTAGTTTTGACTAGGACAGCATGTCATTGCTCCTTGGACAGTATTTTTCCATCTACAGTATATTGCCACCGTTTGTGAAAAGTAATTAGTTTCATCATGTTTTCTTCACAATAAACTACACACTAATTATTTTAGTTGCATTTTCTGTTTTTGCTTCTCAACTCTTCGTGGTGGTATTTCATGTTTTTTCTTATATACTCTCAATATTTTCCATGTGCAACTGGGAAACAAAACAGAGATCTTTACTGGATAATGTATTATTATTTCAAAGATGAAATTACAAGCTATTACAACAACATAGTACATTGTTTATAAATGTTATATTACAATTCAGGAATTACTAATACTCATAATGCTTACACTAATACAGCAATATTACCTACAAAGAGTTTCAGATTTTTTTACTCCTTCTTTCTTGGTTTGCATCTATTCTTACTCTTTCTTACTGGAATTTAATAAACTGTCTTTTTTAGTTCTATTTTGAACGCAGTTTTTGAATTTCTGATTTTATTTTTTACTCATTCAACATTTGCTTTGTTACTGCATCTTCTGTAAACACTTAAAACTTTCTTTAATGACTTTAAAGTATTATAAAACATAACATAAAGCTAATAAGCCTTTGGTGGTTCTGACCCTGAGAAAATAGGTGGGGCCTCATCCATAAAATGTATTGGTATATGCACTCACCAGCCACTTTATTAGGTACACATTGCTAGTGCCAAAAATATATCCCCAACACCATTACACCACCAACACCACCAGCCTGATCCGTTGATACAAGGCAGGATGGATCCATGCTTTCATGTTGTTTACACCAAATTCTGATTCTACTATTTGAATGTCACAGCAATCAATCTGCCAATTCTCCTCTGACATCAACAAGGCATTTTTGTCCACACAACTGCTGCTCATGGATATTTTTTTCTTTTTCTGTCCATTCTCTGTAAACCCTAGAGATGGTTGTGCGTGAATCTCCCAGTAGATCAACAGTTTTTGAAATACCCAGACCAGCCTGTCTGGCATCAACAACCGTGTTGCTCTGTATGAACTTCAGCAAGTCGTCTTCACCATGCCTGAATGCTTTGAGTTGCTGCCATGTGATTGGCTGATTAGTAATTTTTGTTACCAAGCAATTGAACAAGTGTACCTAATAAAGTGTCCGGTGAGGGTATATGAAAGGAAAAACTCTATACCTGGACATTTGAGGTGGCCCAAAGAATAAAACACAAGACACTAGTTATAAAAATATAACGAGGAGAATATCTCCACGCCATTCTTTATTTATACAAAAGTTATCACTCTGAACAGATTCAACTCAAAAGTAGATAGCAATTCTTCAACCTGTTTCATTGGGAATTATAGCACATATGAAAAACATACATCAATATTCATGGTACAGATATACAATATACAATGTAAACACAAAAATATGTATGAAGGTTACAATCTGTAATAGAACCTGATGCATACAGACAATCTGTATGAAGTTGGTAATAACTCCAGTATTCTCATATGTGGTAATATCAAATTAGATCGGGTGAAAGAGCTCAGGAAGTCATCCAGAGATGCAGAGAATGGGTATCCCACACATGCAGGTGAGGGAGGCATATATCGGACCCACACTTAAACCCCAATATGGAAAGATTAGCCTACAAAGCAATGCACATCAGACCGATGTTTCACCTGACCACCAGAGGGAATGAAGGTAAAAATACAATGCTCACTCAAATAATAAATCCTTATTTAAATGGAGGATAGGTAGATAACAGCAGTTCCCAAGATCTAAAATAAAAAGTACATATAGGCATATTAAGGATACAAAAATGAGGGGAAAAAAGGAATATAGCAACCACCACAGATGTTGGAGAAACATTAATATTAACTGTCTTGCTGCAGAGAGAAAAGTAGTTGCCTTGGGCCATGTGCAGACAAAGCCGCTCTTATGTGTCCCAGAGAGACGCCTCCCCCGGTTAGTTCCAATGCATGATGTTATCTCACATTAGTGTGTGTGCACCCAACCAAATGGCCACTGAAGTGTGCTGCATAACATATGAGCGTGGACCAACAAAATGGTCACTGCACACACGTCATGTGGTCCAAGATGTCTGGGACACAGAGAAGTCCAACTGTCAGGAATGGACTTGCCAATAATGGTGGGACTCACCTGCCTTGTGGGCTGCAGTACCAGGGCTGGCCAGCGGGTGCTCTCAGCAATCAGAGACTCAACCCTGCAGTCAGCCAAGACACCTGAGGCTGATTGCAGGTGGATTTAAGGGATGGCCAGACCTGCAGTCTGTGCCTTGGTGTGTGTTTTTCCATGGGCCCCTGTATCTTGTTACCTGCATTCCTGTTCCTCTCTGATTTGTTGCCGACCCTGCCTGATCCGGACCTCTGCTGACTTCTCCTGTTTGATCCCTGGCTTGTGACTCCGACCATTCTCTGCCTGACCCCCTGTACCTACCTGCCCATTAGTTGCTGTACCCGGCTCGTGACCTGACTACTCTCTGCCTGCTCCTCCTGTTCCTACCTGCCCGATTGTTATTGACCTGGCCTGCCTGACTACGTTCGCACTGTATGTATTGTTATCTGTGGGTGGTTTGGTTTGGTTCGTTTGCACTGTGTTATGTTTTAGTATTGCACTGCGTTTATGTATTGTTAGTATTAATAAATTATATTGTTTATAACATATCTGAAGCCTGCATTTCCCTGCATCAGTTCACATACCTCTGGTCATACCCAGAGCCCTGACATTACACCAAGGCCAATCCTGACCAGAAGTGGCTGCACAGGGAAGCCATCTTGGCTTGTTGCTGGGAAGGATGGATCTCGATGAGGTTGTGTATTTGTCGCTGCTGGTTTTTGATGACAGAGAATATGCTTATCAGACTCTGAGGGAGTATACCCGGGATCAACTGCTAGAATGTATACGGATCGCTCATGTTCTAGTAGATCAGGGCACAGAGTTCTCTGAGGTGCAACCTTTGATTCAGGTTTGTGTAGAGTTGGCTTCATCTGGTACCCCTGAAAGCAGGAATGACTTTTTGCCTCCATTTAGTGCAGACCAGGTAGAGTCCCTGGTATGGTTATTAGAGGATGATGTGGATTGCTTCTTGGAGCATTATGCTGCATGTTCACCACAGGTATTAAGGGATTGTATAAACGCAGTGCAGTCTTTGACCAGACAGGCTTTGTGTAAGCTCAGCTTTGTTCAACCCATACTGCAGACATGGTCAGACTTGTTGCACCCAGCCTCAGTCAGCTTGCAACGTCATTCCTCTGCTCAAGGCACTCTTCCTGCATCCCCGACAGCACCCCCAGTGACGGCCCAGTATACTCTGCTAACTACCACATACCAGTCCCCTGCTCCCACTCGCTGCACCTATCCTTTCTTTGGCCCTGTGGAGAGGTCCTCTGTGGCGGCTGCTCCCTCCTCTGTTCCATCTTCCAGCTCTTCTCTGTCCTCAGCTGCTCCATTCGTTTGCAGACCTGCGTTTACTTGCAGTGCTCCAGTAGTTAAAACCAGAAAAAAGCGAAAATTCTTTCCAACCAGTACCATCCTGCCAGTATCCAAACCGGTGAGCCTGCCGTCTGAGAACCTGCCTTCCGTGGTTCAGCCTGGTGCCTCGGCACCCGCACTTCAGCCTGATGTCTCTACCCAGCCTGATGTCTGTACCCAGCCTGATGAACTGATCCAGCCTGATGATCCTATCACGCCTGATGACCCAGTGCCCGCTGTCATACCTGGTGACCCGATGCGCCCGCTGTCGAGCCAGACGATCCAATGCCTGATGACCCGGTGCCCGCTGTCGATCCAGACGATCCGGTACCTGATGACCCAGTGCCTGCTGTCATGCCTGGTGACCCGATGCCCGCTGTCGAGCCAGACGATCCAACAACAGATGACCCGGTGCCCACTGTCGATCCAGACGATCCGGTACCTGATGACCCGGTGCCCGCTGTCATGCCTGGTGACCCGATGCCCGCTGTCGAGCCAGACGATCCAGCGCCAGATGACCCGATGCCTGCTGTCGAGCCAGACGATCCAGTACCTGATGACCCGGTGCCCGCTGTCGTGCCAATTGACTCAGAGCCCACTGTCATGCCTGGTGACTCGGTGCCCACTGCCTTGCAAGATGACGCGGTGCCCACTGTCGAGCCAAATGACCTGATGCCTGGTGATCCGATGCCCGCTGTCGAGCCAGACGATCCAATGTCTGACCCAGTGCCCGCGGTCATGCCAGTTGACTCGGAACCCACTGTCGTGCCTGGTGACTCGGTGCCCACTGCCTTGCCAGATGACGCGGTGCCCACTGGCGAGCCAAATGACCTGATGCCTGGTGACCCGATGCCCGATGTCGTGCCTGATGAACCGGTGCCCGCCGCTCCGCCTGGGGGCCCGGTGCCCGCCGCCCCTCCTGGGGGTCCGGTGCCCGCCGCTCCGCTTGGGGGCCCGGTGCCCATTGCTCCGCCTGGGGGCCTGGTGTCTGCCGCCCCTCCTGGGGGCCTGGTGCCTGCCGCTCCGCCTGGGGGCCCTGTGCCTGTCGCTCTGCCTGAGGGCCCGGCGCTCCGCCTGGGGGCCCGGCGCCCGCCGCTCTGCCTGGGGGCCCGGCGCTCGCTGCCCCGCCTAGGGGCCCGGCGTCCACCGCTCTGCCTGGGGGCCCTGTGCCTGCCGCTCCTCCTGGGGGCCCTGTGCCTGCCGCTCCTCCTGGGGGCCCTGTGCCTGTCGCTCCGCCTGGGGGCCCTGTGCCTGTCGCTCCGCCTGGGGGCCCTGTGCCTGCCGCTCCTCCTGGGGGCCCTGTGCCTCTGCCCGGAGTCCAGCCCGATGTGCCTCTGCCCGGAGTCCAGCCCGATGTGCCTCTGCCCAGTGTCCAGCCCGATGTGCCTCTGCCCGGAGTCCAGCCCGATGTGCCGCTGCCCGGAGTCCAGCCCGATGTGTCGCTGCCCTGTGCCTGACGCTCCGCCTGAGGGCCCGCCACTCCGCCTGGGGGCCCGGCGCCCGCCGCCCCGCCTGGGGGCCCGGTGCCCGCCGCTCCACCTGGGGGCCCGGCGCCTGCCACTCCTCCTGGGGGCCCTGTGTCTGCTGCTCCTCCTGGGGGCCCTGTGCCTGCCGCTCCTCCTGGGGGCCCGGTGCCTGTCGCTCCTCCTGGGGGCCCTGTGCCTGTCGCTCCCCCTGGGGGCCTGATGCCTGTCGCTCCGCCTGGGGGTGCGATGCCTGTCGCTCCGCCTGGGGGCCCGGTGCCTGCCACCCCGCCTGGGGGCCCTGTGTGCCTGCCACTCCTCCTGGGGGCCCGGTGCCTCTGCCCAGAGTCCAGCCCGATGTGCCTCTGCCCGGAGTCCAGCCTGATGTGCCTCTGCCCGGAGTCCAGCCCGATGTGCCGCTGCCCGGAGTCCAGCCCGATGTGCCGCTGCCCGGAGTCCAGCCCGATGTGCCGCTGCCCGGAGTCCAGCCCGATGTGCCTCTGCCCGGAGTCCAGCCAGATGTGCCTCTGCCCGGAGTCCAGCCCGATGTGCCGCTGCCCGGAGTCCAGCCCGATGTGCCGCTGCCCGGAGTCCAGCCCGATGTGCGGCTGCCGGAGTCCAGCCCGATGTGCCTCTGCCCGGAGTCCAGCCCGATGTGCCAGTCTTTGATATCCCGCCAGTTACCAGACCCGGGCGGTGGAACATTTTGCCCAGCTAGGACTGTTTGGAGCGTCCTGAGGCCGCTCCTTGAGGGGGGGGTACTGTCAGGAATGGACTTGCCAATAATGGTGGGACTCACCTGCCTTGTGGGCTGCAGTACCAGGGCTGGCCAGCGGGTGCTCTCAGCAATCAGAGACTCAACCCTGCAGTCAGCCAAGACACCTGAGGCTGATTGCAGGTGTATTTAAGGGATGGCTAGACCTGCAGTCTGTGCCTTGGTGTGTGTTTTTCCATGGGCCCCTGTATCTTGTTACCTGCATTCCTGTTCCTGTTCCTGTTCCTGTCTGATTTGTTGCCGACCCTGCCTGATCCGGACCTCTGCTGACTTCTCCTGTTTGATCCCTGGCTTGTGACCCCGACCATTCTCTGCCTAACCCCCTGTACCTACCTGCCCGTTAGTTGCTGTACCCGGCTCGTGACCTGACTACTCTCTGCCTGCTCCTCCTGTTCCTACCTGCCTGATTGTTATTGACCCGGCCTGCCTGACTACGCTCGCACTGTATGTATTGTTATCTGTCGGTGGTTTGGTTCGTTTGCACTGTGTTATGTTTTAGTATTGCACTGCGTTTATGTATTGTTAGTATTAATAAATTATATATTGTTTATAACATATCTGAAGCCTGCATTTCCCTGCATCAGTTCACATACCTCTGGTCATACCCGGAGCCCTGACACCAACCAGACTGACCTGCATGCGCACCAGCCCCGCAACACTCCAAATATAGGCAGAGGCCGGGCAAACCACCCAGACAACACCAGATAGAAACCATCCTCCAATTTTAAGAACCAGGACACAAGACAGGGGCCCACAGATGGAACAAAGAAGGCGACAACAAAAAGGAGCCATCCTAAGAGGCCTAGATGGAAAACACAGTGACACCCCATAGGGGAACCCAACCACTTCCGAAAAACCAAGCAATCATCAATCGGAAAAATTCACCCTCCAAGTTGATGGAAAAAAAAAAAGGGGAAGGAAGAATTATATAAATGTTCTCATCTATGTGGTCCACAATATACACAAGGAAAACAAATCAGCAGCACAAACCATTAAATAAAAGGTGTGTATGAGAGCATCTCACTAACCGCTTTAGGACCGCCCACAGTACATTTATTGCTACGGGGGGCCCACTGTGCGCAGGATCGCATATATATATATATGTGATTCTTCATTTCCGGGTAGGGGGAGCGCGCCCTACGCACGCCGCAGATGGTGGCCCCGGGTGTCAGTCACCATGTCCCGGCAAGTGATTACTCACTTGCGCAAAATGTGATTACCGGTGATCACCGAGAGGGAGGAGGGCTGCATTGTTTACGAACAGCCCTCCACCCTTTCAGTTTGGGTACACTGCTCAGGATGGCTGAGCAAAGCCATCCTGATCAGTGTGTTTACAGTGAAGCACGCACCCCCCGGCCCCTAGTAAAACACTCCCTACACACAGTTAACCCTTCGATTGCTCCTTATGTTAACCCATTCTGCCCAGTGCCATTAGTACAGTGTCAGTGCTTTTTTTTTCTCTGCTAGCACTTGCGATTGGTCTACAGACCTGATTCATCATATGACCGTGTTCTCTACTGCCATGGCCAGGCATAGATATGAGAGTATAATGTGTTTTATGCATTTCAACGACAATACACTCTGTCGTCCTCACAGTGACCCTGAATTTGACTGGCTCCACAAAATTCGTCCCCTTATAAATCACCCTAACCAAAAAACTGCAGATGTCTATACTCCCCAGCAAAAAATCTGCGTTGATGAGTCCCTCATTAATTTTTCTGGCAGCCTTGCATTCAATTTCTCCCCAGCAAGCGTGCCAGATATGGGGTCAAGATGAAGAAGACCTGTGGGAGGGCAACAGGCTATACATATAAGTTTCAGATTTACGAGGGAAAAGAGGAGCCCTACTAGGAATGATGCTCTGCTGGACCTGGTAATCTCAAACCATGCAGAGCCTATTACGAATGTCCATATAAAAGAACATCTGGGTAGCAGTGACCATAACATGATTTCATTTAATGTTAGCTGTAAACAGCGAGCACATACGGGAAAAATAAAAATGCTCAATTTTAAAAGAGCTAATTTTCCAAGGCTTAGAGCTGCTCTCCAAGACTTAGACTGGGAGCAAATATTGGTATCAATGAACACAACATAGAAATGGGAGTTCTTCAAAAAAGAAGGTATGTGAACACACTGCAAAATATATTCCCATGGGCAACAAGTTTACAAGGCTGAAAATCAAACCTATGTGGCTTACTGCCAAAGTTAAAAAAGCTATAGATAATAAGAAAAGAACTTTTATTAAATATAAAAACGAAGTAACGCTGTCATAGTTTAAACATTACAAAGAATATAACAAAATATGCAAAAAAGGAAATAAAGGCTGCAAAAATTGAAAATGAACGACATATTGCAAAAGATAGCAGGTCTGGCCCGAACATGTAGGCCCTTTACAAAATAATCTAGAGTGGGTGACTGGGGACAAAGAGAAGGCAAATTTATCAAATACCTTCTTCAGCTCTGTGTATACAAAGGAGCATGGGGGAGTTCTTGTCCATAATGTGCATGGTATTGACACAGCTTCAGATGATCCACATTGGCTCACAATTGATATGATCCAAAAATATTTAGACAGAATAAAGGTGAATAAACCACCTGGACAGAATGGCATACACCCATGGGTCCTTAAAGAATTGAGCTCTGTCATTTCAAGACCATTGTTTCTCATTTTTAGAGAGTCTTTGATGACTGGCATAGTACCACTGGATTGGCGTAATACCAATGTGGTGCCAATATTTAAAAAGCGGTCAAAATCTTTACCAAGTAATTATAGACCTGTTAGTTTAACTTCTATAGTTGGGAAGATACTGGAGATTTTAATAAAAGACCACATAGATGAGTTCTTGCTGAAAAAAGATATTTTAAGCAACAGACAGCATGGATTCATGAAAGACAGAAGTTGTCAAACAAATCTGATTTCTTTTTATGAGGGGGTGAGCAAAACCTTGGACAGAGGGGTGGCGGTGGGTGTGGTATACTTGGATTTTGCAAAAGTGTTTGACACAGTTCCCCACACACGGCTAATGTGTAAGGTAAAGTCTACAGCCTTGGAAAATTCAGTATGTAAATGGATAGAAAACTGGCTAAAAGATCATATTCAAAGAGTAGTGGTTAATGTTTCATACTCTGCATGGTCTAGGGTTGTCAGTGGTGTACCCCAAGGTTCAGTGTTGGGACCCTTACTTTTTAATACATTTATAAACGATATAGGGTCTGGGATTAAAAATACCATTTCAGTCTTTGCAGATGACACCAAGCTGTGCAGTGGAGTAACGTTCTTATAGGATGTCTTCAACTTACAAGCCGATCTCAATGTACTGTTTAATTGGGCAACTATGTGGCAAATGAGGTTTAATGTTGATAAATGTTAGGTTATGCACTTGGGGGCTAAGAATATGAATGCATCATACATACTAGGG